GAATAGGTTAAAAGGGTGAGGAAGCCTCTTCGGCAGCCATCCAAGCGCAGAAGACCTGCATAACATTTCTGCTCAATAGGGCCCTAAAGACAAAAAACAAAACAAAACAAAACAAAAAAAACATAGGAACCTTGAAAAGCTTTTCTGATTGTGTGGCTTCTTATCAGCGCCTCAGATCTCCAGAGACACTTAAACATTTTTTTCAGTGCAGTTAGGCATCCCTTGACATGTGCTAGTTGCATGGATGATATATTCTTACAAGAGAAGAAGTCAAATTAGGTTGCTATATATATAAAAGAAATAGGTCTTGGTTGTTCTGTAAACAAGGTCCATTCCTTTATATGAATTACCAGTGAAAGTTACCCAAGATCCTACTTAAAAAAAAAACAAAACCAAACCCTTAATCCAGTGTATAATTGATGTTTTCATGTAAATATTAAAGCCATTAATTACTTTCTGTCCCTCTAAAATTGAAAGGAGCAGACTTAGCTTGTGAGTTACGTTTGACTTTTAATATCAGTGTTTCCAAGCCCTTTTCTAGGATTCAGTGCATGCATGTGGCTCTTCGTTTTTTTAATAAAATTTTATCCAACTTCTAAGGCCACATGGAAGAATTTTCACAATTATAGTAGTGGGGAAGCAAGAAATAAAAGTCTTACCTCTGCAAGAGGATGCCAGTGAGCAATGGGTTTCCGAGGGTATGAGAGCATTTCGTTCCAGTGGTCACGACCTAGACTTTCTGCATCGTTGCCTACTTGACATACTCCAATGACCTCATTGTGACCTACACTGTGAAAATGTTCCATAATATATTTTTTCTTAAAATTTTACCTTTAGACCATAGAACCATATCATTTACATATTTCATTAGAAACATTAATCACAGATTTTTAGAATTAATTCTTGCTTGAAAAATGTAATGAACTATAAAATACCTACGTTTGCTCTTTGCATTTCTCATTAATCAGAGTAATTTAGTATTTTCCCCATTACAGCATACACTGTGTGTCTATGTGCATTTGTTTCTTATTTTTACATGAAGAATGTAAAAAGTTCTCTCAGAAGATCAGTTGGTGGACTGTCTGAATACATGTTCAATTATTACAGTTCTGGTAAGTTAGTTAGCAGCTTAGTTATGTCAGTAATGGATGCAAATCTGTATTTTAACATTTAGAAAGGAAATTCTGCCTGGCAAAACAAGAATTTTTAGTCTTCTATCAAAATCAACATGACATTAATTTCCCATTTATTGGGAAAAAATGATAACTTTGATTCTGCATGCAAATCTACTGTGCAAGATTTTATAAGCCAATAGATGATATTATTTTACAGCCACAGGTATCTCACCGGTCATAATCCATAACAGCTATCGACAAGTTAATTTGGTCAATGTTTTCCGGAGGGACGTCAAAGACTATGGCTTCATTGTAAACGGGATTAAGGGTATTCCTCTTGGTGGAAGTTTTTCTTTTCTTTAGTCGCCTTCCTTCACACATTAAAGAAACTTTCACATAGGGATCTGTGTGAATCATAAGAACAACGTTGGTTTTCTTTTGTTGTTTTTAAGCAAACATAAATGGAAAGTGAAGGGAGTAGCCTTCTTGTATGCCCATACCTGCTTGCAGAATCAGTCACCTGGACCTGACTGGAATTTGAGCTTCTTTATTAGCAAGGAATGCCTGGGAGGCAGTGGAGCTTTGAAAGATTTACCTGGTTGACTGCTTATAATGAACAATCTAGGATCAAGAAGCTCCTTGCTTTGTTCTGACTTCTCAAAGGGTATTAAAATATCCACTGAACCTTGTTATACGTGACTGTTTTCTACAACAGCCTGTGTATCAGCCTATTTATAACAGCCTAATTAGTTGTATAGATTTGTAGAACAGACAGAAGATGACAATATTTTACACAGTGGGATTTACTGATGTACAGTTAAATATAATTCAAAGTGTAACAATTAGTGGCTTATATTTCTCAAGAGAATTATAATTATTTTTAAACTACTGAATGTAGTAAAAAAAGCTATTTCTTTGTAGCTCTTTTCTGGGAGCTCTGCAACTCCCTGCTAGTGTTTAGAAGTCAGCTATGAAATCTTATTGACATTAGTTTCTTGTTTTCATCACCAAATTTTGAAAGGGTTGCTGAAAGGAGTCTGGGATGGTCACTGCTTTGTCCTTATGCCAACAACAGCAGAATTTGCTCAATGGCTCTTGGAGACTGTCAGAGGGGGTCAGTCTGCCTCCGTGCCATAGCTGTAACCAATAGTCTGCTGTACAAACAAATTCCCAATGTTAGAAATGCAGTTTGGCCAACTTGTGTTATTCTGAATCACAGTGGATTTAAAGATAATAATCTTGCTGTCTTTTTAAGACCAAAGTATTTAAACTGCAGGTTGCAATAGAACAAACTAAAATACATTATTTACTTCTCAGAAACTCCTGTACTCTAGTAACTCAAGAGCTTGCAGAATAAGAACCCTATTCTCAAAAATCATTCTGGGAACTGACAGTGCTGAGTCCTGTGACTCAGGAGGGAAATGGGACAGAAATCCACAGTAAGCATTAAATTAATTCCTACCTGATGCTCCTGTGATATCCATTGCCTTTAAATTTCTTGCCTTTATTATTGTAATAGTTAGTCTACCAGCTGTTGGAAGGTAGCAGAGTGAAAACATCAGGTCGCCAAGATCCACATTATCCTGTTCCAAGGAAAGAGAGACAATGTGAAGCAATAATAACAATTTTCCCTACCCATAACAAGAGCTAAAGATAAAGTATACCTTTGGGGATCTACAGTTATGCTAGCAAATGCTGAATTCTCATTCTGAAATATATTTGAAAAAACAGCCAGCCACCTGTATATAAGATTCAAGTCACTACATTTGTTGCTACATCACCAAAGTTCACACCTGTAAATGTGGTTATAGTTCCTAGCACTCACTCCTTGTAGATGAAAGACACTTAAGTGATGAGGTACAGTGTGAGACACTGGAATACCTTTGCTCTATTTTATGTTTTGTAGTGATTTGCATGTATTGTTGACAACTTGCAACAGATCTCTGTGCCTTTCCATCTGGTTGGCAGAGAGAGGTTCACAGAAAGAACACTGGTTGCGCAGGGCAAAGCTTTATGCAGCTCCCAAGCTTGCATTAACTCAGGTGTGCTAGGTGTGAAGACACTCTGGTAATGGTGCAGTCCCTACTGGAAGTAGAGCAAGGACATTACTTCCTGTGCCTTGCACAGACAAGATCCCTCAAGTAAACTTATGCATCATAGTGAATAAAGACTGTATTAAATGATTTATGGGATTTTATTTTCCTTTTTAGGACTGAGCAGTGTACTGGTACTTCTATAGACCTATATCCTGTAACTTAACGTTTCATTCTTGATTGAAAAATGTTATCCCACCCAGCAAATTCAAAGCTATGTTCTAGGTTTTATAGGAAAGGAAATACAGCTGTTGTGGAATATGTGTATGTTTCCCACTTAGCTTTGTGCAATAGTTTCTCACCTTTCTCAGGTTGGCTCCTTCCCAAAAATGAAGGGTGGTGGATGAAACAGGCGAGTGAAAATACCCTGAAACAGCACCTAACAGGTTAGTGTTTGCTTCTGAGCTAGCTGCTGTATCGACCAATGCCCACAGCCTATGCAGTCACTTCAGGTAGCTTCATGTGTTGGCAGGGAACACATGTAGGACAGAAAGGACTGCTGTCACAGAGTTGTGGAAAAATGTTACTTTGAAAGGGTTTTCTAGAGGTCACTTGATCCAACCCCTTGCTCAAGAGAGGCATCTTCACTTTAGTTCTCAGCTGATGCAAGGGAAAAAAATAATGTACATTCATTCAGACACAGGTTCTTTCCTTACGCTGTCATGGGAAAAAGATGCTGTCAAAGAAGGAAAAAGCTGGTATTATGGGCCCTTTTGTCAGTAATAACTAGCTTTTAACCCTGACTTGACTTCATCAACTATCACCTTTTTCATTCTAAAGATCAGTATTTCATGGTAGCTGTAAAGCTAATAAAGGTTGTGACAATATCAAGATAGCTGATATGACTCACCCTGTTTAGTGTCTTTTGATAGCTGATACTTGGAAGCAGACCTGCTGCAACACTCTCTGTGTCACTGAATCTGACTGTGAGAGGATCAAAGTGCTGTTTGAGAAGGTGATGCCCTAAGAAGTCCTACAGGCTGAAGTAATGTCAGCACATCCGGGAGAAATTTCTCTTGGCTAACACCTGCACTTAATATCAGAGGAGGAATAATGGATCTCTGAAATTTTCCCAGGGGTCAGCTGGAGCTTGACACCTATAACCTGGGGAACAGGAAGCAAAGATTTCACTTATCCCTCCCATTGCGATGAAGAAAAACTTCCAGAATTTAAGTGTTTAACCTCCCCAGCTCTGACGTGCTGAGATTTGTAGCTGTGGAATTTCCTCTCTCACGCTGCTAACCATACAACTCTGGGAGGGAGCAGAATTTCATAAGCCATTTAAAGAAATTAGTGACTGAAGCCAGCTTTTGGCAATTTGGGGAATTTCTCACTCTGGCAAACTTTGATTGAGAGGTAATGTTTCATGAATTGCCCACAAGCTTTCAGGAGAAGATAGCATCATTGAATCACCCGGTTATTTCCTGACCATAAAGAAGCCCATCAGTCATCTGTTAACTGTGCATCTTGGTATTCTTAAATATCATCAACCACGTCGGAGTCATTCTGTATTCAACTCCAGTGGTATTCAACTTGGTGACTAGGTAATCCATGATGTGAGTACCGTAAATACTTTACTGTTACTGCCAAATACAAGAGTTTCCATTCCAGACTTGATCATCTTGAATCAACATTTTAAAACGTTTAATCAGTTCTTATCAAGAACTTAATAGGTAAATGAAATACTATACAATTGTTTTATATACAAAGTCCAAGAAACATGTTATCCCTCTGCAGAAATGAACTCATTAGGAAAGAAGAGATGATATGCGTTGAACGCAGTATTAGGAATTATGCCATAATATACTTATCCACAAACTTTGCCTTACATTTGAAAAGTAATCTTCACCTACACCGTGATCCGCTTTTTATCAAATGCTACAATGACAAAGAACTTTGTTAATGTTTTTCCAAAAATTGCACTGGGCATCATACAGCAAAACACTGTTAAACCGGAAACAGAACCTACAATTTCTTGGTCTTTTCCAGTACTAGAAGTTGTAGGTGTTGTAGCAATAGATCCACAGATGATTGTTAGATTCAGTCTGCTCGTAAGCCAATGCTAGCAGTAATCTAACCGTGGCAGTCTGAGAATGTAATTGAAGGAAAACTTGCCGGCAGAAGCAGTAAGGAAACGTACTTTTTGGCATGCAAATCCTTCTCTCAGTCTGAAAAAGAAGCCCTGTCTTCTCACACTTTCATTTTGATTTGTAGGGAATTAATTACCACTCTATGATACTAGTTGCTTGTAAATATTTTCTTATTTTGGAAAGACAGACTTTCTAACAGAGTGAGCATTTCCCAGTGCCATGGCTATTCCACCCTGCTTATTCCTATTTTCTGTAATCTAAGGGCAACATTTTTTCAACTTAATGAGGGAATGTTCTTCAAAGAGTACCACGAACTGTGACTGCACCACAGAATCTGCATGTGTGTGTTCACCCGTCTGGGTAACTGTAGTGGAACAGGCAACATGCTCTGGCTGGAGATCAGTTGTGTAACAGGCATGACCAGCAAACACAGGTCCTTACTAAAAACTCAGTTTCTTAACAGAACCAAAGCCTATGTAACAGAGCACAGAGAGGACTATTGCACATCTTCACGAGTTTAAAAGCACTGAGCCCCATGGCTTAAGTCATGGATTCTCACTACTGTATGATCAAGAAATAGCTTTAAGGAACAGAATTAACAAGCATAAAGGGTAGGATCTTCTGCAAGGATTTTGCTTCTGTTTGAATTGAGTACTTATGTGTTACTATGCATGCTTGACAAAATATGGTGATATAAATATTAAACTGCCGGAGAGATTTTTAAACTCCTGCCTAAGAAAAGATTTCACAATATTGTAGGTTATCAAGTCATGCATTTTGTACATTCCAAATTTGTATCTAACTTAGTGTGGTAGTAATACCATATTGTGCAAGTTACATTGCAACCAGGTCAGCCCTAGTATAACCAGACCAAAAGGCTGGTTAATAGTATTAATAACTTAAAATAAAATATTCTAAAAATAATTTATTTATAGGAGTATGGCCTACATTATTTTTAATTTGGTCCTGTTCAATTGTAAGAACTGAAAAAATATGCTGTGATAAACATACCTAAGGTTCAAGCTCCTCTCCCGTTGTCCTCAAAACCTGTCTATGATCAGAGGAAGAAAGCATTGCCTCCACTTTTAATCTGCAATCTGCTCATTCCTGTAGTCTAAAAAAGGCAGAACAAGATTGGTGCCTGCTTTGACTTTCTGGTGCCCCAGCTTCAGCTTCAGGCTTGGGATGATAGCTGAGTGGCTTGATGTTGTTAGCTGTGCCTTACAGTGAGCTGCACAACCCATCTCATGTCTGGTTCTGATAATCCTGCCTAGATTTGTTCTGTTAATGTAGTCCTTTATTCAACAGGGCAAGAGCATGACGTTTCTTCCTTAAAAACTTGCCCAGTGTTACCTGGGAGAGTCAGAAATATTCTATACTGGGTAAGCAGTCAGCTGGAGAGCTCAAACCAGATGTGTAAAACACAAGGTTTGCCTGAAAACTGTATCTTCACAAAGGCAATGAATCCCTTACTGGAATCTCAAGATAAATAAGACCCCTTCATTGCTGTTACGAGTGTGGAGATATGACCTCACTCACATTATGATTCCTCCTTGTTCAATTTCTGGTGGAAATATTTGATATACCATAAATATAATGTTATTTTAATAATTTTCAGTGGCTTCTACTGAAACCTTTATTGTTCCTGCTTTTCCCAGAAAATATATCTGGTTCTGCCCTTGTAAAACCAACAAGGTAATAATATATCTTTTAAAACGCTGAATTCCAATGGTTATGTTAATAGCTTATTAGTCTATAGTCATGCAGTATTTATAGATTTTAAAATTACTCATTTTGTTAGAGGTCAGCCTGCAGGATAAAACACTCCCTAGTATGGTGTCCAAAGCTCCATGCTGGCGTTTAGGTGAGCATAACTCAGCATATTAAACAGAGAGACGTGCAATCTGAAACAGGACTGCAACGATGGGCACTTATATGGCTTCACCTTTGATTTGTTGGAGACTGCATTAAGAAGTTCAGGCTGGATCAAACCTTTTTAGTGAAACCTGGAAGTTACCTGGTAGTGAGGGGGTTTCTGACAATGGGGATGACATTTGGGATCAGATTTCTCTGGTGGATGGGTTATGCCTTCTCAGAAATACATCTTGAGTGCAGAGAACGGGTATGTAAACTCACACAAAACAGGTCAAAAGGGATGAAAGGAAACAAGACAAATTATAGGTTACAACTTCTGCTTTTGCCTCTGATCTAGAAGAAAATATGCTGTCCTTGAGACAGGCAATCATAAGTCTTGTGCCCATTTCTTCAGAAATTTGCGTTTTGTATTTTTGCAGCAGACAATCTATGATAGACCTGCTGTCACACAGTGCCTGTCTCACCCCAGTTAACACATATGTCTCAATTATACCAGGTTCCTCAGTTCCCCAGCTATAAAAAGAC